CCAGGCACACCCTCAACTGGAGAGATGCCAGTAACTTGTGCAGGTGGAGAAGCATTCATTGCAAACCCTGGAATATATAGTTGATAACAAAATAAAGACACAAATTATGTTTTTAACAAAATGCCATTTAAAGATATAAATATAGGAACTTTACGAATTAGAAAAAAACAAATCCCAACCACTTCCAATAAAAGTACCTTACCCAACTTTAGGATAACGCTAGCTTGCCAGAGTACTCAAACAACGAAATTTGAGCCATAAAATTTATGACACAGTTCTGTAAATGAACTAAAATATATGCTTATAAAAGGGAATCGCTTTAAATCGTATTATGTCTTTTTGGAGAACTTTAACTAAATTTATAATTACAAACTTCCGTTGCATGTCAACTCTTAAGAGTTTATGTAAATTTCATCAGTTACCTTCTTCCATTTTATATATGAGATGATCACAAAATAATTTAAATTTTGAAATGACCTCAGAGCACTTTACTGCTTGTATATTTGTTCATTAATTACTAATATGAAACTATTTTTCCTTTATCTTTAAAGCGCAAAATAATTTGCTTAGAAATCTGCCACTTATCTAGGATTGCGTTAAATTGCGAGTGATTTGGCTTTTACGAATGATTAGTGTAGAATATATAATTTATGATTTGTTACGAAGGCAACTTTTGATGAGGACATCAGATGACCACTATTAATTTTCGTAACGATATAAGTCATACACAAATAGAAAGAATAATGCAACCAAATTATGCCATTGGATTGTCTGAGCAAGCTAGGATTGACATACAAGCTCAACTTCGTATAATACATGACATTTATTTGTTTATTTATATTTAATATTTGTGACTATTTGCAAATGGAAGGTGATTTAGGAATTTAAAGCACTTTAGAAGATTTATTTATTTGTTTATATCGAATGGCAGGCGTTTTGATAGTTATCAACAACCCTTTAGTTGACCTCAGGGACCACAAGGGGGAAGGTACATCAAAGTGAAAAATGTCGAAAGGGGGGGGGGGAGCGGACTAGAAGTGTTTCAAAGATGTAAAAGAGACAGACACAAAGGTAGAGTGAAAAAGGTGAGGTGAGTGCTATGGAAGCAGTCGAATGTGACATACAGTGGGTTGATGGTAGTTTGAAGTCAGAAGTCAACTACCGACTGATAGACATTTTTGCCATATGAATATACGTTGCCCAGGGTGCACCACGCGGAGGTAAGTCTATCGCACACCCCGCACCTTAGAAAATTGAATTTATTTAAAACATTAAGTCAAAAGAGTAAGAGTATAGAACTTCCACAAAGAAATTCCCTTCAAGAAATTAAAGGCGAAATTTGAGCGGACACAGCATTTTTTGTATACCTTATAAAAATTCATTCCACGTAAACCCAACTTTGTACTGACTCTAGTGTGTAAAATCCCTAAAGTACTGGAAACCATGTACAGAATGCCCAGAGAATATAACTAACTAGAAAACACTGTATCATGCTGTGCTGTTTGCAATTAATAAGATAAAAAGGGAAGTTTATCTTAAGCAAACATCATTTACTGGTAAAAAAACTTATCCTTTCTCAGGTCACAGAAAGTGGCATTTACCTCCAAAACAATACGGGTTCTAGATCCAATAATTGAGCAAAAATTCTCCGATTTATGATATTTCACCACGCAAACATAATTAACTTCGCTAACAAGTCTTGATAAATCATTGATGCAATGAACCCATTGGAGCCAAAATATCCCGAAACATTCAAAAAGACAAAAGGGAAGATGAAGCAGTCTTCAGCATATCACCAAGTGCATAAATAAAAAAGTTGTACATAAAACAGGACAAGATAAAAAAATGATTTAAGTACAAAAATAATCATATTTACAACGGAAAAACGACGTAACACAAAAATACAAGTTCAGTCTTTTGAAGCCTCTTTATAATGGCGATACTCCGGTTTTAATTCCCACATATTTTGGTGAGGAGGCCGCGAGTTGAAAACTCCAATTTCCTTCAGGATTTCTTGTAAGTAGTTCTGTAAAAGAAAAAAACAGTCATAACCTCAACATTAAGAGAAGTAAATCCCAAATCAGTTTAATGCCAATTTACAGCGGGTTGTTTAGTGAGATTGACCAAATCCTTGAAGGTATAATACTGATGCCTTTCGAAAGCCTTGAAAAGATCCTGTAGCACATCTTCACGTTCACGACGCAAATTCTTGCCCTCGGTCTTTTTGCGATTCTCGAGCTGCACTTCAAATACCGGTTTAGAAACAGGTAGATT